GAAAAGTTGAAGTTGTGGTGCATGGGAGAGCTAGCCCAGAAGGGACTCCTGAGTTAACTTTCAGGTGAGATGGAGGGGACTGAGAGTTTGAGGAGAGGTGTCAGACTTCTGCCACAAGACCTTCTAACTTCTAATAGACTGGACCTAGGGGGTCCAGAAATGGCTGTCTAGGAGGCCAAAATATGGATGGGAAGAGCCACTGTTCTGTTTGTACAAAGGAAAATGATGTACAAGCGACCATCCTTTCTGGGGTGCAGTGGAACTACCCTTGTGCCGTGATGAGTGATGCCATTCATAACCTTAAGCTATCACTGTCCTACTTGCTCTAAATCTTGAGTGTCTTTAATGCTGATTTTATAACAAGACCCCCAAACAACCCATTTCCCCTAAACTGACTCTTCTAAGCCTGTTAGTTCCTAACAGGTGCTGAAATTCAAAATGTGGAATTCTCCAAATCCTCTACTTCTTCTCTCTCCCTCCAGTCCCACAAAATCCAATTAGTTACCAAGTGCTGTTGAATTTTCTCTTCACCAGATCTCCCCATAGCTGCCTCTTCATTTCCATTTTCACTTCCTGTAGGCCAATCCAGGCCCTCATTAGTTCAGACCTGGATTACTGTGACAGCTTTTTACCTGGCCTCTGGCCCATCCTTATAACCCTCCTTCATATCCCCAGTGAGGCAAAATTCATAATGCCCAGCTTTCATTGTGTCACTGCTCCTAAAATGTCTCCACTAGATTTCATTAGCCCTTCCTTGGTTTGGCTCTCCCCTACCTTCCCTTCCTTCTCTCACGTAACTCTCTGCTCTAGCCAAAGTGGTTCCCTCAACATACCTGCCATGTGTTTCTTCCATCCCTTGGTTGTGACTGCTTTCCCTACCTGCAGTTTCCCTTTCTCTTCCTTTATCCCCATCCAAATACAGTACTACACATTATCAAAAGTCCAGACAAAGGGTCATAATCCCTTTGATACCTTCTCTCATCTTTTCATTTAGGGGTGAGCTCTTCTGTCTCAGGACTCTTCTGGATTGCTTGCTTTTTCTTTTGCTGTATTTAGTTCCCAGCCTGAAGACCAGCCTACCTAAACAGGGAGGGTCTCCTCCCCATATTGGCCACCAGGGCATGAACTTGCCAACCAAAGGATATCTCAAAGATTATCTATCAACACAGGTATGGTTTTCCCGGGCAAAGGGGGAGGGTCACATCAATGACATCATGAAGCAGTAAAATGGAAAATATGGAATTCACTGGAAAAATGTGAGATTTACCATCAGAGCTTGAGTTCAAATCTGGGCTCTTCCACTCTCCTGTAGGTGTGGTGTTGTTAGGTCATTTCGGTTCTGTCCCACTCTTCCTGACCCCATTTGGGGTTTTCTTGGCAAAGATACTGGAGAGATTGGACATTTCCTTCTCCAGCTCCTTTTACAGATGAGGAACTGAGGCAAACAGGATTAAATGACTTTCCTAAGGTCACACAACTAGTAAGTGTCTGAGACTGGTTTTGAACTCATGAAGATGAGTCTTCCTGATTCCATATCCAGGATTCTATCCACTGCTGCCCCTACATATGTGATTAGGTTGGTTCATTGGGAGTTTCCTTTCATTGTTCAGTTGTGTTAGTTGTGCCTGACTCTTTGTGACCCCATTTGGGGTTTTCTTGGCAAAGATACTGGAGTGGTTTGCCGTTTTCTTCTCCAGCTCATTTTACAGATGAAAAACTGAGGCAGATATGGTTAAGTGACTTGCCCAGGGTCATACAGCTAGTAAATGTGTGAGGTCAGATTTGAACTCAGATCGGCCTGACTCCTGGTCTGGTACTCAATCCACTGCATCACATAGCTGCCTGTAGGTGTGACATTGAACAATTTACTTTTTTTCTGGGTCTAAGTTTCCCATCTGCAAAATGATGGAATTAGACTAATAGAACTCAAATGTATTTTCCAGTTCTGTGTCTGTGAGCATTGATCCCTTGAAACATTGAAATACCATTATTTATCATTTCTTCTTGACATCTCATCTCTCCAACTGGACTATAGCATCACTGAGCACCTTCAATGCAGGCAGAGTGACTCCTACACAGCACAGCAGGTGCTGAATAAATGCCGATGACTGAATGAGATGAGGATGTTTAAGGTGCTGTCCGGGTCCTGGGAGTAGGTTCTGGTGCTGGACAGTTATGGTCTTGGAATGAATAACTCCAGGGGTAGCTCTCATTTATATTACAAAGCACTGAGAAATCAAGGGGCCTGGCCAGAGTCACAGAGCCAGCCTCTGCGAAAGGCAAGAGTAGACGCGCATCTTCCTGCTCTGATGTCAGTCTCCAGTCACTAGGACAGGCTGCTTTTCCACAGATCCTTTTATCCCCATTTTCCTGGGGAAGAAGCTAAGTCCAAGAGGTTAAATGAGTTAAGTGTTGGAACAGAGACTTGAGCCTACGTCTGGCCCTGGGACAGTGGCTTTTATGTTTGTTTCCTTCATTCTGGACCTGTGATTTCACTGGGTTTGGAATTCCCAGTGAAAGGACTGCCTCTGCTCATATGGATTGGGACCTTCCCTTTAGCTTAGTCTTCGAGAACTGACCAGGGCACTAGAGGCTAAATGACCACCTCAGGGTCATGTATGTGTCAGGGCCAGGCTTTGAACCCAGGTCTTCCTGACTCTGAGGCCAGCAAGCTGCCACTCTGCCTCTAGAACCCTAACCATAAATCTACTGGTCACTTTAACAAATCTGCACAAGGTGGCATTATTCAGTCTTGGCATAGAAATGGCCCCAAACAAATATAAAGAGGGCTTGGCAGGTCAGGCAAGATGAGTACTGGGGCCTCTAGAACTGTCCAGCAGGCTCCATTACAACAGAACGGCCACAGACCTCACTACTTTTTGTTTCAGATTGTACATAGGCTCTCAGGAAATAGGTTAGTGTGCCAAGCAAAACACAAGAGGTGCTTTACGTTGGTATTGAAGATGTGTGTGATGTAGACACTGATGTGGAGGTCATTTGTGATGAAGGTTTCATAGCTCGATACGTGAATGCAGAGCTCATTGCCAGGACTTCCTGCACATCACCATGATGTATGTGGATTATCCAAGAACGATATCTTAATGAATGGACGTCACCATTACTGCTCTCACACTAAGTGATATGGGCATGTGAGGCATGGGCTGGCAGGGCCAGAAATGCAGAATCTTAGATTTGGAAGTGACTCTGTGGCCATGTAGTTTAACCTGTACCTAAAGAAGCCTACCTCCACTAATATGCAGGGCACGCAGTTATCAAGCCTTTGGCTAAAACTCTCCAACAAGAAGTCCCCCATCTTCCAGGGCAGCCCATTCCACTCTTGGACAGCTCTTACCATTAAGACGGTTTTCCTGATAGTAAGCCTCAGTTAGCCTCTTTGCCACACCCCCATTGCTCCTGGTTCTTTCTATGGCCAAATGAAAAAGTGTTATCCTTCTTCTATGTGACAGCCCTTCAAATATTGGAAGGCAGCTGTCTTGTTCTTCTCAGCCTTCCTTTCTCCTTGCCAGGCACTGATGGCAGGGGCCCATAAGTAAAGCGGAGACCATACATGCAACCTGAGGTCCTGGAGCACAGGTGCCCACAACCACTCATGTAGTCAGAGGGCATCAAGGCTGCAAGAGGGAGGTACTGCATAGCATGAACCAGGAGTGAGCAGGGTTTTAGGACCAGTCCTAGCTGCAAACAGCAGGTGAAAGTAAAGGCAGTCTCTAAATTGGGGCCTTTATTAAGCCCTTGCCAGGTGGCTGGATGGTGCAGTGGGTAGAGATGCCAGGCCTGGAGTCAGGAGGACAAACCTGGCCTCAGACATTGTGTGACCCTGGTCAAGTCACTTTGCCTCACTTCCTCGTCTGTAAAATGAGCTGGAGAAGAAAATGGCAAACCATTCTAGTATCTTTGCCGAGAAAATCTCAAATGGGGTCACAGAGAGTGGCACATGATGGAAAAATGACTGAACAGCAGGTGCTGTGCTCAGCGCTTTACATAGATTATCTCATTTGCTCCTCGCAAGACCCTGGGAGGGAGGGACTGACTAGTCATATTTTGCACATGAGGAAACTGAGGCACAGAGCAGTTAAGTGACTTGTCCAGGGCCACACAGCTTCTAACTGTCTGAAGGTGGATTTGAACTCGCTCTTCCAGACTTCAAGCTCAGAGCTCTATTTAGCTGCCTATATAAGGACTGAACTTGATCCACCGAGAGGCTCGCTCGCCAGCTGTACTGGAGATTTTTGACTTGAAGTCAAGAAGGCCGGTGTTCAAGCCTCATCTCTGGCGGACACAGGCTGTGTGGCACTGGCAAGCTACTTCCCGCGCTTCAGGCAGCTGTTTAAGACTCCGAGTCACGGAGACGCTGCCAATCTGCTGTGGCAGAGGGAGACCACGCCCACCTTTCCCTCCCACTGTTGAAATAACCAGTCTGGATCACCCACACCTGTGACGGGCTCCAGGCCATAGAACGCAGGTTCGGAGGGCAATTCACCCCCCGAGTCAGGACTTCCTGCCCTGCTCCGCTGACCGCATCCCTCTAGGAGAGGCAATGGTAGGCGGTCACCCAGCCAAAGGGTAACCCACGGAGAAATGCGGGGAGCGCCAGCAGAGGTGGCTAAGGGTGGCGCTTGGCTCCGCCGGGAAGCCGTTTGCAGACGGACTGGGGTGGTACAACCTAGCAGAAGCATCCGTGAACATGTTGCCCTGAAAACACAAGAACCCCAGCCGAGCACCTCGTCCACCGCACAAAGGCTGCCCTCCAAAGCTGGCGTGCGATGCCTGGGGGATGTGAAGGCAGCCATAGTCCATTCTAGGAGCCTCCGTGGACGAAGGCAGCGACTGCCCTCCCGCCCTTGTGCCCCGGGGTTCCGTCTGCTGCCCAACTAGCGGGTTCACCCTCTCTCCTCCCGTCCCCCTCCCCACCTCCAGCCTGTTCGGCCCATTACTGGCATGAACAGCAGGAGCTTCCCTCCAGAACCTGGGGCTCCTACCTCTGGCCTGCAGACCCGCTCCGCAGGTCTCCTGGGTGCCGGGGCTGTCCTGCCTCACCGACCACGGCGCCAGCTGGCACCGGCGCCATTTGTGAGTCTTCCACCTGAAAGAAGTGCAGAGCTGATTAAGGTCTTTGGGGTACATGGAGACGCGTGGTCATGCCAGTAGACTTAAGGCTTCCTGAACTCCTCACGTGAGCTGGGACCAATCTGTTAATGCTGATTCTTTTGTTCTGACTGTAATTTAGGGCTTGAGGGTGGTATTCAAAGTAGCAAGAGTAGAAGTGGGAGCCCGCCCTGGTACCCAGCAAATAGCCGCTTCCTTGGCATGTTCTAGTGGGTACTCCTTTCATATACAGGCTGGGCTAGAGGCTGCCTTTGGACTCTTAGGTTCTAGAATCCTGTGAATCCCTGCTACCAGGAATCAGTCCTGGAATCACTGGAAGGCCTGAGGAAGGAGAAGATGATGATGAAAGAGCAACCATCTCCACTCTGCGTTTTAAAATCCAGCTCTGTCTATGGGAGTAACACGGTAGCCTTGGCACATCCCATAGGGCAACCCTGCATTGATAACTGTTTCCTGACCTCTTAATGCTCTTGAAGTGAGAATTCTCTATTGAATGACCCCCATTGACCCAGAGTTTCAGTAACCTCAAGTAGCCCGAGCCCGAGCGAGGCAGAACAGACCTCTCCCTGGACCCATTGAGACCCATGGGCCTCAATTCTGCTGGTGAGAGCTCCGGCGTCTACGAGAAGCCAATGTTCTCTTGGGCCAGGAGGGGGATCCTCCACTGGGACCCTGACGGTTAAACTTCAAGCCTTCTTGAAGACCAAGACTCTCATAGCCTGATCTAATTTTCTGTGATTCTCATACAAGGGAAAGAAGAGGCCCTGGGGGGAATGGATAAAGCTCCAGACCTGGGGGCAGCGGACCTTGGTCGGTGACCCAGATCTAACACACACTAGCTTTGCCAGCCTGCGCAAGTCCGTTGGCACCCCTGAGCCTCGGTTTTCTCCCTGTAAAGTGGCAGTAACTGTACTTGCACAGTGTGCGGTTATGGGTAGAGCACTGGACTTGGTATCAGGCAGATCTGAGTTCAAATCCTGACTCAGACACTTGCTAACTGGTATAGGGTGAGAGTAAGAAGCACAGGCTGCTGAGGATCAGGTGAGAAAAATGGGGCTAAGATGCTTTGCAAGTCCTAATTCACACCTCCTGGGGTTGCTTCATCTGACATTCCACGGTGCGTTTGCACCACCTATCCATGTACTTGCAATGCCCCACCCCCCATTTCTGTCTCTCAGAATTCTTTTTCTTCAGGGCTTGCTCAGGGGCTCCTCCTTCTTGAAGCCCTCTCTGATTGCCTCCAGCTATGAGGGAGCTCTCCCTGCCCCAATGTTCCCAGAGTCTTTGGTTTCCATAATTCCTTTGCCCCCTGGCACTGCAGTCTTCCTCATGCCTGTGGATGCAGGTTAGAGCCCCTAGAACCATCCGAGCTCCTTGAGCACAGGGGCCAGTTAAAGGCTGAGGGTCGTGCTCCGCCCAGAGCAGGCATTTAGCAAACCTCCTTGGCTAGACTTGGCAGCCTTCCAAAAGCCTGAGGCATCTGGGAATTCAAGGCATTAGACCATCTGCTTATGACATTGTTGGGCTGGGAGTGGGAAGCCTAGCTGTCCAAAGCAAAAAAGCTGGGGAAAAGGGGGCCGAGGGAGTTGGGGAGGGGGGAGATACCGACTCTGTGACCCCAGCCTCACCTGAAGCTGTGGCAGACCTGGGAGGCCGCGCACTCCCTTTCCTCATACATCGCCTCCAGGCAGTCTCGGCCTCCATTGGCAGGCAGCTGAATGATAACCCGGTTCCGGGATTGCTTCTTCACTGTGGCGTCCCCTGAAAAGAGTCCAAGGAGGGAATGGTTTTCGCCTCCCGATTTCTGCACCGAGCCGGGAGGCTGACAATCAGGCCCATGTGAATGTCTCGAACCTCCTTGGGGGGAATCGTCAAGATTTCTGTCTTGGGAAAAATGCCTGAATGAGGGATAAGCTAGCATGGGAACAAGGCGAGGCCAGTGGAGGCGATGCCTTTATCATTTCCAGAAGCCTCTGAAAGCATTCCTGCTCACGAGAACCTGGGGGCCCTTGCGTCCAGGCATGCTCGCTCACAGGCAGGGAATGGGCCTGTCTTCAGGACAAAGGCAAGAGGGATAAGTGAGCGGGTCCCTGGACAGAGAAGGGGATGATGGCCTTTCCTCCTGGCCAACGAAGAACTGATCCTGGGATGGGTCTTGTTTGATTAGGGGTTTTTAAATGATTGGTGAGAGGGGGTGAAATGCACAGATAGGTAGACAGTGCTAAAGCATTAGGGGAGTCAAAGCCTGGGGTAGGAAGCGAACCGCCAAACAGTGAATGACTTCTGGTCCCAACACAGCCACAAAAGAGTGAGGTGGCCTTGGACAAGTCCCTCCCCTAACTGAGCCTCACTTTCCTCATCTGTGGATTTAAGGGCGCCCCGCTGAAGATCTGAACTTTAGATCCAGAAAGTATTTTAGAGAAATCATTGATTCTAACCCCTATTATACAGATGAGGAAACTGAGACCCACACAGAGTAAGTAAAGTAGACAAGGTCCCAAGGTGGGACTAGATGCTTTCTTGCTTTCTTTCTTTTTCTTTCTTTCTTTCCTTCTTTCTTTCTTTCTTTCTTTCTTTCTTTCTTTCTTTCTTTCTTTCTTTCTTTCTTTCTTTCTTTCCTTTTCTTTCTTTCTTTCTTTTTTCTCTCTCTCAATACATACATATATGTGTGTATATACATATTATATATTTGGTGGGATGGGGTCTAGGCTTATGATGCTAGAGAATTCTTATCATGGAAACCTTCCTCCACCAATGTAATCAGCAACTTTGATATGTTTCATGGTCCTGGAGATTTGCCTGGGAATAGTAGGAGACTAACTGACTTGTCTCTGACCGCATAGCCAGTCCGTATCTGAGGCAGAATTAGAATTCTGGTCTTCCCGAGTCCAAGGCTGGCCCTCTGGCCCTCTCTCCCATGCACTGTGATGCCTCTCAGGCTCTCCATGCACTTGGAGGCACATAGACCCCGATGCTTCCGACTGCAGAGAGAGACCTTTGCCTAAGTGTCAGATAGAAGCATCGGCCTCACCCTCGGGAGCTTTCAGACTGAGAGTGAGCCCAGCGAAGTCTTGCTGGAAAGCGTGGATGAGGTAGGAAGTCCCCTCCCGAGTCAGCAGCCGACCCTGTGCCCTGCCTGGCACTGGGGTCGCTTTCCTAGGGACATCTCACCCACTGGGGCGACTGGCGGATCTTATTAACACAGCATCTTCTTCTGGAGGATCCCCACGGTCCCACCTGCCACATGGGACACGTAGCCCTAGTCCGTCATGTATAACAAGGCTGCAAACCAGGCTTAAAAGTGACATTTTATTTCCTGGTAACTCACTTAATTTGAAATATGTACCAAGTAAATTATTCTAGTCATTTACCATTGATGGTAAACAGGCCGCACACTGTGGTACTTGAGTCATGGTATAAAGATCAGGATGGGGTGCAGTGAAATCAAACACCACAGCTCTGCGGCAGAAGATATTTAGGGGATTTTTTGGAGCCACAAGGTTTTTATCACCAATAAATTTATAGTTAGGTGGCACGATGGATAGAATACTGACCCAAGAATCAGGAAGGCCTGAGTTCAAATTCAGCCTCAGATGTTTACCAGCTGTGTGACCATAAACAGTTCATTTAACTTCTGTTTGCCTCAGTTTCCTCAACTGTAAAATAATAGCACCTGCCTCCTGGGAATTTGTGAGGATCAAATGAGATAATATTTGTCAAAGCCTTGGCACAGTGCCTGGGACATAGAAGATGCTAGGTAAATACTCATTCTCTGCCCTGAGGGCTTCCCCTGATGTGGGGAATGCCCTCGGCCGGCTCAGCCTCCATCGAAAGTTCAGAGGCCCCTTGCGGAGGAGGAGTCTAGACATCTTTGACTGACCCATTCCTGACTTTGAATTCACGATTCCCTTAATGCTTGTTGGAGGAAGAGAAGAATGAATTTTGGATTAGTTTAGGACCTCCTAGGATTGAGAGCTGGGGGGGATCTTACAGAAAATCTGCTATATTTCTTTTCGCCAGACTGCGTCCCAGGAGGAGCAGTGACTTGCCTAGGGTCACTTGGCTAGTCAAGGACGGTGCTGACCTCTGACCTCAGATGGAGCGCCATTCCTGCCATCCCACCCTTATCCTAGAGCTGTCCTCTAGTTATCTCATCTATTTATGTCTTGGCTCTTTCTCTCTCCCTAAATGTGATACTTGGAATGAGGAACACAACGTGTCCCTCCTTCCCTCAGCACCAGCCACACAGAGTGACCGCAGGGAAGCAGCTCACAGCTGGTCAAGGTCAAGGAGAGAACTTCCCGCTGTCCACTGTCTGAGGCTGGCCACCTGCATGAGGCAGTGACTTGTCCCTTGGAGGGGACTTGCTATCAGATCAGCCATAGCTGTACCGCTTGCGGTACTCCAATTCTCTGCAGCGAGAGAGCAAAGATTCCATGGGGAAGAATGTAGGGGGTCGGTGGAGAGACTCACAGAGTGAGGGAGAGCTGACACAAATCCTGCCTCACGGTTTGCTAGATGTTTGACCCCGGGGAAGTTACTTAACTCTCTCTGCATCAGTGTCGTCATCTGTAAAGTGGGGATAATAACAGCACCCACCATCCAGAGGCCACGTGAGATTATTCATGTAAAATACTTTGCAAACCTTAATCTGCTAAGTAAATGTTATTATTGTTATAGATTATGCCAGGAACCTGACCCAGGGCATGGTCAGGCCTGAGGTGACAAGTGGCCTCGTGTTTTCTGAGCTCGCTCTCTCTCTTTTTCTCTCTCTCCTCTTTCTGTCTTTCTCTCTCTGTCTCTCTGTGTCTGTCTCTTTCTCTGTGTGTCTGTCTGTCTCTCTCTCTGTCTCTCTCTGTCTCTGTTTCTTTCTCCGTCTCCCCCCTCCCTGTGCACCCTCATAGCCCTGCTCTGGCTGTGGGCATGACTCCCCTCTCCTCTCTTTCTGCTGCTCAGGCTGGAAGGCCCACCTGGCAGGACACAGGAGACAGGAGACAGTCCAATTCTATCCTCCTTACAAGGATGTTTTTGTGTCTTGTGTCTTTTTGTTTTTGTTTTTTTTTTTGTGGGGGGAGGAGGGAAGCCAGTGCTGAAGCAAACCACTGATTCCATGGCATGGGGGGGCTCCTAGGGAGTGAACACCCCCAAGCACATTGGCTGCATCTGCTCTGCTGCTCCAAGTCTAGGGGTGTAGCTGGGCTCCTGAGAGCCTGACGCGTGCCTAGGACCCACAGTCCGTAGGTGCCCGAGGCAGAACCTGAACCTGGATCTTACTGAGGTGGAGGCAGGCTCAGCTGCCTCTGTCTGAGATGGAGGCTGGCTGGCCTTGGACCCAGGTCTTCCTGGGTTCTTTCTATATTTTTCAGATGGTTCTCTTTAGAATGATAGCCTTGATTTATAGAAATCATTTGGTTGGTTTGTACCCAGTGAGTGAGAAATGTCTCTCCAGGTCCACACTGTTACTAGTGCTCATAAACATCTCCTCTCCTCTCTCTAATAAAGCTCTGCTTGGCGGCAGGGGTTTGGAGGGACAGAGCAGACACCCCCACAAACATCCCTCCCAGCCCTTTAGAGAAGATGGGCAGCTAATCTAAGCTTAACCCCGGATGGAGGGATGTGCATCAGGGCGGCAGCTTTCTCCTCTGATGCCACGTAGGGACAATTGAGGTGTATGAAGGATTTCTATCTGGAAAAAAAATTTCTATCTATCCAAATTTTTGGGCACTATCCCTGGGCTCACAGCCTGCTCTTCAAAACCCTCCCTGTCCAGTGTATGGCTTTACTACTGCGGGTTTCCCAAGGCCCATCTCGGGAGGCTGAGAGCCCCTCCCAAGGGACAGGGGCCGCTCCCACCAGAACCTGCTTTCTTCCATTCTCTGATGAGGTCCTATGTAATGGCTCTTCTCTCAGCGGCTGAAAGGGAAGGAGGCCTGCTCCTCATTTTAATAGGTCCGCAACTCCAGACAGCACTTAACAAATTTGGAATTACCTGCAAAATCTAATTAGAAAGAAACAACCTGTCCCCACATTAATTTTCTGCTACTATTATCTCTCCTAGGACACCAAATTTCAGTTAGCATTTTTAATTGTGGGTTGCCCTCAAAGTAATTTCCCAGGAATATAAATTATTCACACTCCATACCCAGTAATGAGAAAACTTTCTCTAGGCCAGGACTGGGTCTTGCTCCCAAGAAAATGACAGTTTCTACCATCATCCCCAGATCCAGTCAACCCCCTCACTGGTCTGCAGACTCCTGCCTTAGGTAAGCAGAAGAGTGGCCCGTTGGCTCATGGCCAGGCTGCTCCTGAGTCCTTCTCGGGGTCCTCAGCCTCCAGCCCTTGCTGGTCACAGGGTCAAAGATTCAGAGTTGAGAGCGGCCTTAAATATCACCTGGATCAACTCTTCTCTTTTGCCAATGAGGAGACTGAGGCCCGGGGAGAAGAAGGGATGTCCCCACGGTCAGCCAGGTAGTGTCAGGAGGGGACTGAGGTTCTGGTTGTCCCCGTGTCCTGGACCAAGCCGCCTGATCCTTTCCTCAGAGAGGACTGGATAGAACCAAGGGTGAAATGCCCAAAGAAGGAAATTAAAAAGAATGAGCTGCCAATCACCAGGACATTTCCCATAGACTAGGAAGTACCATTAGGAGATTTGTCATCTTGAAGAGCATTGGACCTGGAGTCAGAAAGGCCCGAGTTCAAATCCAACCTCAGACTCTTACCAGCTGTGTGATCTTGGGCAAGTCATTGAAACTCTATTTGCCCCACTTTTCTCATCTGTAAAATGGGGATAATAAGAACACCAACCTCTCAGGGCTGTTGTGAGGATCTGATATGTTCACATTTGTTAAAAACAAAAACAAACCAAACCTTGGTCCTGCACCTGGCCCACAATAGGTGCTCTATAAAGGCTCATCCCCCCCATCTTATTGTTAGGTACAAACACTATATGTATTGTGCCCCAGAGACCTCAAGGGCTCTATAAGCTGTCATCATTATTTACCTGGTTCTAGAATTCCATAGCCAGAGGGAACCTTAGAAGTCATTCTATTCCAAATTCCTCATTTCACAGTTGAGCAAACTGAGGCTCAGACAAGGAAGGTGACTGGTCCAGGGTCACACAGAAAGTGATCGGCGGAGCTGGGGCTAAGAGTTGGGTCCTGGACTTTGGGGCCTGCACCACCTTCACCTGTCCAGTCCTCAGTCCTTGGGTGTGCGTGTCCTTCAGAATTCTTGATCTGTTCCTTCTACTTTGGGCGCTGGTGCGCAGTGCAATTTTCTTTTGCTCCCTCCCCCAATTAAACTGAAATTAATATCAAATGACTTCCTATCAGTGGCCTTTATTAAGCACCAAGGATCAAATGACATTTGAAGGCATCTGTACCTCATGTAACAAGCTCAGTCTTTGTAAGAATAAGTGACAGTGACCAATCACCAATTACCAGGGGCATAAGCACACAGCTCATTACCGACTTCAGCTAGAAGGAAGGAATGTTCAGAAGGTTTAAAGAGAGAAAAAAGCCCAAGACGAAACATGTGAAAAAGAGGCTGAGCATTTGCTCTCACATTGTGTCACTGTCCTTCATGTCTTCCTCTCACGCCTCGTGTCCTGGAGCTGATCTGGGCTCTGGGAGGCCCCGCTGCTATCCCAACGCTGTTGAGGGGCTTAGTGTGTGTCCAGGGAAGGACAGTGTCTGCTGTCTGAGGACCAGCCTCATTTGAGGCAGAGAGTTAGGATATAATCAGAAGCTGTCTCTATGGTGTGAAATATCATCTGGTCCCAGCAATTCACAAAAAGTATCTTCCTCAGAGGGGAGGGGGCTACAGTTTGCCCCAGGGAAGAGAAGGCACCCACTGGGGAAATTGTGGGACTATTGAAATGATTACTTATGTGCAATGCACCAAGACATGGACACTTTATAATAGTTTTAAGAGCACAATGGGGGTCAGGAATAGATATGTTAGGACTTTTGGGATGAATTGCATAGTTTTGCTATTTTAAGGTTTCATTTGTCCTTAAAAGTTAAAAAAAAGTTCCCAAGAGAACTTCTTGGACGAGACCGCATTGGATCAAATAACCAACGTACATCATATTACAGATTTCCTACTAAGTATGAAAGCCTTTGGATACGTTTGATGCTAACTGCAAAGATTATTCTGTTGCTGTGACTGGGAACTCTAGCTCTAGGTTGGTGAGTCCTGAAATGAGCCTGGTTCCTGGGGAATGAGGAGTGTCACCTTTGACAGCAAACAGATACTTTTGGGGAAGGGGCTAACAGAGGGATTGAAGCCAACCCTGCCTTCTCTCCCAATCCCTCAAAGGATCATGCTGGAGGGGGGACAGGACCTCAGAAATAATCCAGCCCAGCTCTTTGATTTTACAAAGGAGGAAACTGAGGTCTACGACCACAAAGGATAGCTCATTCAGCTCTTTCTGTGGCATCAGTCAAGTCACTGAAGGTTCAGAGAAAATTAGAGAGGAAGGGGCCTGGAAGAACAGCTTTGCCCAGGGTCACATAGGCATTAGAACCAGTTCCTTTGCATCCAAAGGCAGTGCCCATTCCCCCGTCCAGCTGTTTTCTCATTGGCCATCTTCATAGAGCCATACTCCTCTGGAAGGAACTGTTCCGTGATGCTGTGCCCCAAAGTTTTGGCTTCTCAAGGACAGTGGCCTTTCAGTAACTGGGCTGGTTCTACTCTCCTCTATGCAGCTGGAAACATGGGCCTGCAGCTCTGACCAGCTGTTTGGGCTAGGAGTCGGTGACGTGATTTGGAAACCTCCTGCATACCCAGGATGACTGAAGTCCTGGGAATAGATGGCAGCACCAAGAAAGGTTGGGGGAAAGAAGAGAAGACAGCCATGGCAACATTGGGGGGATACCCACATCTCAGGGAGAGGAAGATGAAGAGGAGGCAGAAAAAAGAGACAGAGGTACAGCCAGAGAGGTAGAACTCTGAATGTGCATGTCACAGGAAGCAAAGGGGAGAAAGTGCAAAGGATGTGTGTGTGTGTGTGTGTGTGTGTGTGTTTGTGTGTGTCCTGAGTGCCAAACATGGCAGAGACATTAAACAAGGTGAGGACATTGGATAGGCTACTGCACTGGTAATGGGAGTAGTTTTCTTTTTGTGTAGAAGGACAATGACAAATACAACAAAATTCCCAGCCTCTTGTCCAGTTCTCCCTAGCACCACATCTTTTTGTGTGTGTGTGTGTGTGAGGCAATTGGGGTTAAGTGACTTGCCCAGGGTCACACAGCACCATATCTTTCTTTAAGGCTGGTTGGAAGTTGAGGAATAATGGCTGCCATTTTGATGTTTCTAAAGCCTGGTAATATAATGTCTCACTTTATCCTCAACAATCTGTGAGATAGATGTTATTATACCCATTTTATAGATGAAGAAACCAAGACTGAGGGGAGAATAAGTGACTTGCCAAAGGTCACAGAGTTAGTAAGTTAGCAAGGCAAAATTTGAACCTGTCTTACTGACTCAAAGTCCACCCTCCATCTGACACACCACCCAGGAGAACAAGCTTTCCTCCTCCTCCCTGGGTCCTCAGCATTGCTGCCAGGGACAGATATGGAAGACTACATTTGCCCCTTTGAGTCATCTCTCACTGATCAACAAATCTACCATAATTATATCTGTGACATCTCCATTTTGATTCGCACCCCTAAAACAAACACAGAAACAAGTCACCACATGGCGTTGTGTATCTGGGCTCTTGTTTTAGAAGTCCAGACCTTTGTCCTTCTCTAGGAGACATCCTTTTGCATTCTTACCCTCCTATAGCCTGAACTCTTCTAGAGTCTGCTGTGGGGAGGGGAAAGCCCTTGAATCCAACCCAGAGTCCTTTCTCCATCAGCCCATTCCCACTGATACCTTCTTTGCAGGTGGAGGGGCACGGCGTCCAGTCACTATACGGGGTTACGATGCAGTCCCTTCTACAAGGAAGCAGACACGGCCTCACCGTTTCAGGTCGAAGGTTCTCAGGACATCTAGGGATAGAAAGACAAAGGTCAGAGCTTAGATAATCACAGTAATAGTGATACTAATAATGATAATATCTGGCCAACAGTTACTTAGGGATTGTATCAGCATCTTGCCTTTCTAGATCTTTAGAATTTGTAAAGGGCTCTACATATGCTGCTTCCTTTGATCTTTTAAGAACATTGGGGTTCTAGCTTTTAAACCTACTCAGATCAAGAACACCCCTCCCTCCCATGAGAATCATACAATGAAATGAGAGCTTCTGAAAAGGCCCCAGTCTAGATTGCCAACATGGATGGGATCACAGGCTCTCGAGCTGGTAGGAACCTTGTAGGCTCAATAGTCCAAAGCACTCATGTTATAGATGAGGAAGATCAGGCTCCAAAGGGAGAAGGGAGTGCCTTGGCTGAGGTCACATGGGCAGGAAGTAGTAAGTGCAAGATTCAACCTAGGTCCCCTGACCCCAAATCCTTTCCCCTCTTTCCATTACTCCATGGTGGCTTCCTTCTATACCGCACTGCCATCATGCTGATGCCATAGTTTTTATTTGATTGCACATAACCATCGAACAGCCAGACCAATCCACTTCTTTCCCACCTCTGATACTGTGATCACATTTATGACCATTGAGGCTTTGAGTGTCTGATTTTGGAGGCAACAACATGGTGTCCACTTGGCATATACACATAGGAATCAGAGCCCTGGCACGAGAGGAAGTGGAGGCTTGCTGTGGTGGAAAGAGGATGGGTGGAGAAATCTAAAGAGTTCTGGGTTCTAATCTTGCCTGGTAAGAGCTAGTGAACCAGCTGTATGATGGGGAAGCTGCTCCACCATTTACTGTGTATGAGACTCTCAGATTTCCCCTAAACAGGTGGCCTTCTAGAATGGAGTTGATCTTCCCTTAAATCACTTAGCACAGGCCAGCAAACGTCTAGAGAAATGGAGTAAGGCGGTGAAACACTTCATGAAACTAACAATTATCCACAATTCCAAACTTTCAAGCCCCCTTAAAGAAGGTCATGTGTGTTTCTTATATGCCAGAGGATGAGATGGAAACTTTTGGAACCAATGTGACCATTTTATGGGTCTTGAGATGTTTTTAAGCTCCCGTCGTAACTCAAGGATAAGCTTGAATTTATTCTAATTGCTATGCCTATTCAAGGGCACAAGTACAAAATGGAATCAGATAAGGATCATGGAAGTTAATCTTTTCTATTAGCACTGAGACCATAAATCTCTAAGGAGGCCCATTTGGCTGCTGAGATTAGGCTTAGAAACAGGAAACACGAGGGGTCCACTTATTCCATTGAAAATAGAGAATTATACTGCATTTAAGTAGGGCTTATTCTCAGACCCCATTCTTTCTGGGGTGCTTTTAATGATATATAGACCAGAAAAGCCCTGGGGAGTCATGTTTTCTGTAAGCTTTAACCTTGATAAAAGTTCTTAGGAATCTACAGGGACACAGATTTGCAATTTTTTTTTCTAAAATAGAAACTCCATAAATGTAGTTCTCATGAAGCGTTCCTAAAGCATTGGTCTGGCCATGCCATTCCCCTGTCCAACAAGCTTCTTCAGCAACTTCCTGTTGTCTCTAGGGTAAAACACCCATTCGTCCATGAGGCTTTTAAAGCCCGTTCACGATCTGGCTCCAGTCTTTCTTTTCAGTCTTTAGAACTCATGTTACACCCCCCACGCTCTGGCCAAATGGACGGATTTGCTGTTCCCTCAACAGGACATTACACCTCCCATCTGTGTCTTTGTTGTTATTCAGTTACTTCAGTCATGTCTCATTCTTACTGACCCCGTCTGGGGTTTTCTTGGCAGAGACACTGGAGGGGTTTGCCATTTCCTTCTCCAGCTCTTTTTACAGATGAGGAAACCGAGGCAAACAGGGTGAAGTGACTTGCCCAGAGTCACACAGCTGGTAAGTGTCTGAGGCCAGATTTGAACCCAGGAAGATGAAGCTTCCTGACTCCAGCCCTGGCGCTCTATGCAGCTGCCCCTGTGCTTTTGCACAGACCCTTCAATATTGGATGGGCTCCTTCCTCGTCTCTACTTCCTGCCATCTGCTCAATGACTCCCTCCTTAAGAGACCTTTTCTGACCTTCCCAGTGCTTCATCCTTCCTTGAGATGACTTTGTATTTCCCTACCTGGGTACATGCTGCTCCTCCCAGCAGAATACGTATTCCCTGAATATAGGGTCTGCTGCTTTTCTGCCCTTGAATACCATTGCCCTGCTCAGTGTCCAGGGCAGGTGGCTTCATGAATCCCTGTTGGACTGAATGAATCAGTGAGTGCCCAGAGCCGTCCCCTTGTGGAGACAACACCCCTAACCCCACAGTGACCTGAGGACACACCTCTTGGGATCCTGGGTCCTGGAAATGGTAATTAAGCCAGCTCTGGGCTCCTCCAGAGAGGGGAACGTTTTCATCAACATGCCCCTTTTTTCTCTTTTATGCTCTTTGTATTTAGTAGCTTCAACTTAAATCCAGGAATTGATCCCCTGCCCCTTCCCCCATCTTATTCAAGGTCAAATTAGCCAGAAGAGAGAGGAGAGGCATGAATTCTGTTATCAGGAGGGCAGACGAGCCCGATACCATTGATCTGTCCACCCAGCAGTGAGCTGCTTTGTTAAGTGGAGTTAAAACAAGGTTTCTGCTTACACATTTGTGTCAAGTGCCTGGATTGTACAAAATTATTCTGGGCATGTCACATGACATTTCAGAAGGCAATATCCCTGTTTTTTGAAGTCTTTGTGTTTGCTTCCAAATGGAAGCAACCTTTTCTCCAGAATTCGAAGGGCAAAGAACATCTATTGGGTTTAGCAGATCCATACAGGCAACCAGGGGCTTGGATAAAAAATCTAAGGGTAAACCACTGTGAACTGTTTGGTTCAAAGGGTATTTACAATGAATATGAAACTGGATTATTGTGAGGGTCCCCCAGAGCATTATTCTGATTGAATAGCCTGAGGGAGGTTAATCCTCCACCTTTCCTCCCAAATCCAGACTGTGCATGATTTTCTTGTCTTCTACTTTAAGCCAAAGTCTGGAGGACTGGAAATGTTTGCAGCAGTCCTGGAGGCAGGTAAAAACAGGACTTGGGAGCACATGGCCTGCAAAGTTCTTGGTTCCTGGAGGGAAGGTGCCTTGGTGAGAAATCCGGTGTGGGGCACAGAACATGTTCATCTCTGGGATGGCTAAAATCTGAGAGTGAGACTCTAGTCCAAGAGTCTTCTTGTATCTAATTTTGTTGCTGTTCCATAGAATGTCCTTTGGACTGGGTTTAGTGGAGAGACGGTTGGGCTTGGGGCCAAGAGACCCGGCTTCAGATCCTGAATCTAGCATGCAATAGCGGTGTGATCTTGTACAATGATAACAACAAATCTACTATACAAACAGGTCTGCAAAGGAGAGTGGTCTTTACGGACCACTAGACACTACATAAATGTGGACTCATTATGATTTCAGCTTTACCTCTTTCATCATTGTCTGTATTTATGTCAGGCTTTCACATGACTGGTCACCTGATAAGCACATAAGCAGCTTTCTACCTGAGCCCACCCCACTGGAGATCACATGGTCTTGACATCCTTCCTCATCTGGCGTGGACACAAGTCCCCACCGAGCCTCTTGCTAGGACTGAGGGAAATACTTTCCCCCAGGAGCCCTTCCTTCCCAGGTCCTGAGTCTTTTCAACAGCTGTGACAGTTAGTATTATTATGATTATCATTTATTGTTATTAGCTATTACTCGAGACCTCTTAGGTCCTCAGTTTCCTCCTCTGCAGTATCAAGAGTTATCCCTAGATGGAAGCTGAGGCCCCTTCCGGCACGAGATTGAGGACCCTCTCTATGGCTTAAGAGGAAGTGCAGAAGCATCCTTGTCTTTGGCCCCTTTCCCTCCGGAACTCCCAGGCTCCCTACGAAGTCAATTCCTTTTTGTTGCAATTCCAAGAAAGCCCAAGTTTATGAGCAGGAAATGACTTTTGTGCCACAAGGAGAATGAATTTGACATTACTGGCAACTAAAAGATATCAAAGCCAGCCCCAGAACTACACAGTTTGCCATGATATATTTGCTGTGACTCAAATATCTCAGTGGAATTTGATTTATAAAGATTTAGATCTCAAATTTAAGAACAGAATGGCAGGTGGAGATTCAGCCAGAATAGGGTTTATCTCCTACAGGGCATTTTTAGACATTTCCTTTAGAGACTGATTAGTTTCACTGAGCTTTATCAGGTTTTGTATCTAATTGGCAGAAAGTAAAAAGGAGTGCCTGACAACGGGCCCCCTCCCTCCCTGGTTTAGCCCGAGTATGTCCAGGTCTAGCCTCCTGCAAATGAGCTCACTTTGTCATGGGAGGGATTTAGAGTCACCCCCAAACCCACACACACTTTGACTTGTCCAGGACCTTGCTGGAGATGGCTCTTGTTAGTTTTGAGTGTGAAGCTGAGCATTTACATCTTGGAAATCAGAAACCTACAAGTCAGGGCTTGATTTATGATTTGTCCATCGTCTAGACTGGAGAAAGTGAGGCAGGAAATGTTAATGATGCAGATTAAATTGAAAAGGGTGAACTAACTTTTTTTGGTTGTTAAGCATTTGCCAGCAAACGCCTGGGTCACCCTCTCCCTCAATGAGTTCTCTCTGTCTCTGTCTTTCTCTCACTCTCTAGCTCTCTCTTCTCTCACTCTGTCTGTCTGTGTCTCTGTATGTCTGTCTGTCTGTCTCTTCTCTCCTCTCTATGTCTCTGTCTCTGTCTGTGTCTCTCTGTCTGTTTCTGTCTGTCTGCCTCTCTCATCTCTGAGAGATGGTTTACTCATTTAACCCTGGGGAGAGGTAATAAGCTTGGACTCAGCATCCTGGATATTGCTTCCTTGCAAGGAGGACTGAAGGACATTTCAGAAAGCTGCAACCTCCCTTCTAGCCCACGTGGCTGCCTAACCCCAGCAGCACGTTGTGATCATCATGAAGGAGGCATGACTAAAGTCTGTCTTGTGCTTCAGAGCAGCCTTTCAGAAGATGGATGCACTTCTCTAAAGGTGGGGGGTAGGGGCTGGAAGGGGAGTTTCTCTTCTGTAATTTGGGAATCTGGCTCCAGAAATCCAGAGCTACTGGTGCCTCATCCATCATCATCACTCAGACCAGCTGCCCCCTGGCAGGAAGCAGACCTGGCTGGCACTGACCCACCCATCTTGCCCAGAGAGGATAACCTCAGCAGTGTCTCTGCTGCTACCTGGGCCGTTTCCTGCTGGATTCCAGGCAGGAATCCTTACTTTTTAGGTCCTACTTGGCCCACGTTGACTCGTACGCAGATGACTTTCCTTGTCTGCATGCCCACAGAGCATGTGGCCTCCCCATTCCAAGCTGCAGAAGTGTTGAAGGAGGAGACAGAGCTGTCCTCAATGCATGGGCCCCAAGGGCCTGTTTGCCAGTGGTAAACGGTGCATGGATGCTCGTTGCAGCTGCGTGTCTCCTGGAGGGCACTGTGGTTCGGACATGGAGTGCCGCCTGGAATGATGAGGCACATATTAGAATGAGGATCACAAGGGCAGCTAGGTGGCGCAATGGATAGAGCACCAGCCCCGGATTCAGGAGGACCTGAGTTCAAATCTGGCCTCAGACACATAACACATAACAGTTGTGTGACCTTGGGCAAGTCACTTAACCCCATTGCCTAACTCCCCCCAAAAATAGAATGAGGATCACAGGCCCAGCTTATCCAGCTCAACTCAACAAGCATTTATTCCACACTTAATACATGCCAGGTTCTGTGCTAGGCACTGGATACAAGGATACAAGGACAAAAAATAATAATAGCTCACACTGATATTGCTCCTACTATGTGCCAGGCACTGTGCTAAGCACTTTACAAAGATTATTTCATTTGATCCTCACAACAACCCTGGGAGGCAGATGCAGTTTTTATTGTTATCCCCATTTTACAGGTGGGAAAACTGAGGCTCCTAAAGGTAGGTTGATGAATTTCCTGATGCTGAGATTACTGAGAGCATGGTGGAGTTGTAAGGAGTGCAGCAGAGGGAAATGAAGAGGCTGGCCAGCCTGCTAGCTCTTCTCCATCCGTGGCATCCTACCCAGGCACAGAATCCCTACAGCTTCCTTGTCACCCCCTCCATGAGACCTTTCCTGATCACCTCTTCCATCCCTACTAGCCTTCTCTCACTTTTAAAATTGCTTTGTATATAGTTTATTTTTATTGACTTGGGTCCATATCACATACCACCCCCCTCCCTATTAGAATGGAAGGTCCTTGAGGACAGGGCAGCCAGGTGGCACAGTGGAGTTAAAATCTGGCCTCATATACTTACTAGCTGTGTGACTTGAGCAAGTCACTTAACCCTTGTTTGCATCAGTTTCCTCATCTGTAAAATTTGGTGCCTAGGAAGGAACAAAATATTCCTGAGATTGTCTGCCCAGGGCAGTGTATGGCAGGACTATTCCTTTTATTCTTTTGAGCCTGGCCACTAGATATCCCTTCATGTGGTCCAGATCACAGCAGCATTTTCAGCTGCAGTTTTGCATTTTAGACTCCTGCTGGGCTTATAGGCCCACCAGAACTCTAAGATCTTTATCAAATAAATGAGTGGCTAGCCATGCAGCAGCCACAGCCTCCCAATTGGAAGGATGTCAGCAGCCACATGGACCAGTCTGGACTGGAACAAAATCTATTTACCAAGAATGTCCCTGAGAAGTGGGCATCCAGCTTTCCCTTGAAGGCAATGAGAATGAGAAACTCACCAGCTCCCTGTGGAGCCCTGTGGACCTCCCCATTCCATCCCAGAAAACTCTCACTGTTAGGAAATTTTTTCTATAACACAAGTCTAATTTATTCATTGCTCATGGTACTATCCTGGAATGCTAAGCAGAACTGGTGTAATCTGTGTTTCATGTGGGGGTCCTCTAGATTCCTGAAGATGATTGCCCTATCACCCCTAAGTCTTAGCATCATAGATTTAGAGCTGGAAAGGAATTCAGAGGTGATCTAGTCCAACCTTCTGATTTTACAGATGAGGAAACAGAGCTCTAGGGATGATGGCAGCTGACTCTCTTTGCAAGGTCTTTTGTTTTCCCTTCAAGTGAAGAAACACAATATAGTAGATACACCACTGGCCTTGAAGGTGGAAGATCTGGCTGGACCTGGGTCCTGGCTCCATTATTCATCAGCTACATGACTTTCAGCAGAAGCGCATTAGATTCTGTGATCCTCATTCTCCACATTCATGAAGTGGAGATGCTACCACTCCCCTTCCAACTCATAGCGGTCATGTGAATCAAGGGAGATAACACAAGAGTTTTGTGACCAGGAAATATGACCAGAATGTGAGCTATTGCCTTGGCTCTCCATGTTTGTGCTTGGTAGTTGGGATAATCTTGACACATCCCAAGTGCTCTGACAAAAATGATACAGCAGCGGCAACAGATCCTTTAAATAGGAGCATTCTACTCTCTTGACTTTAGGACCATTGATTGTATCCATTCATGTCAGTGTTCACTTCCTGTGCATTGGGAGAAGAGAGCACACATCTGGTGGAGGGGAACATTATTAACAGCTGGCTGAGGAAGCTATTACATCAGGTCCTTTCCCACTTTGCACAAATCGATGCCCTATCCTTCCTGTACTGAATGGGCAATTAGTTTCAAATGAGAATCAACTCCAGTTGATGTTGGACCCAGGGAATGATGTTTCTAAATCCATTCTCCTTTCTAATGGAGTTTGCAGAGTTATAGAACATGACATTTCAAATATCCCTGACTGGACCAGCCCATTATCCCCTATGTGCAAATAACTGGGTATCGCCCCTTCTCCCTACAAATGCTTTTAGTGAAAAAGGAAACTTTATCAATATTGCTTGAGATTTCTATCACAGACCAGTTCACCAATCCACCCAACTGTGCAAAAGCTGCACCTGGGTTGATATATTTTTTTTATTTTATATAGTACTGAAGAGTCTTAAATATTGGTAAATCCGAACAAATACCAGGGTAATAAATGGAGGTTTAATCAGTAAAAAAGGAAGCCCATGATCCAGGAAATCCAAGTTCAAAGCCTGCCCTTCTTTCAAATTTCATCTGACCTATATCTCCTCCTCTGCTTCTTGTTCCTGACTTTTCTCTTGTTGTTACCATTTATGATTCAGTTTCCCAAGGACAATAGTGAGCTCTTATAATTTGTACATTAAAACATGCACATGCAGAGAAGGCCCCCCATGATCTGATGGGAAGCACCAAGTACAGGATGTTGTCATTCTCTGGTACTCTTGTCAGTTCACATAAATCTAAAAAATGGGGGGAGATGATGGCTGGCATTTAAACAGTAGAAAGGTTTGGCAAATCTGCACCCCAGCTATTCTTTGAGTGGCCCTTCAGAAGAACTTAGAAAAGAGCTCTCCATGGTATGTAGATCTAGAAGAAAAGGCTCACCTATGGGGGAGGGGGAGTTCTTCACTAGCACTCACGTTTGCATGTGTGTGTGTGTGTGTGTATGTATGTGTGTATGTATATATGTGCATATGTATATGTGTGTATATATGTGTATATATGTATGTGTGTGCATATATGTGTATGTATATGTATGCGCATGTATATACACATGCATGTGTATGCATATATGTATGCGTGTATATATGTATATATGTATGTATGTGTATGTGTACATGTATATATGTATGTGTGTATATGTGTGTCTGTATATATGTGTATATGTATATGTGTGTGTGTGCATGTGTGTGTTTGTGAGTGTATGTATGCAGATTTGAAGGAGAGAAGAGCTCAAAGGAACAGGGATTCCTATGTCTTAGTCCAGCAAACAGAGCTGACCAGGGCTGCACTCCATCACTTGTCTGACAATCGGAGGTCCAATTTCTAGGGCAAAGATTTTTCCAGAATTCAAGGGAAACCTGTATGTCATCATCTATCAAAGCAACTAACGATGATGGTCCTTCAAAGCCCACAGAGTAATACCAGCTGGTATCTTTAAAATGCTTTCAAGTTTGCAAAACCATTGACCTGCATTATCTCATTTGAGCCCCACAAGAATCATGAGGCAGGCACTGTAGGTATTACAATCTCCATTTTACAGATGAGGAAACTGAAGCTCAGAGACATTACATGAGTTGCTCCACATCTAGTAAGTGTCAGAGACGGAAGGGGAGCACACCAGCTACTTCACAATCAACAATGAGAGGTGAACAGGCGAGCATGCATGGGAAACAGACATTGTTGCCCATAATCAGTGGAGGTGGCTTCAGTGAACAGAAACAACCCTGGCCTGGGGGTCAGAGTCTCCCAGAATTCCAATCCCTGAGTCAGGGGTCCCCTGATCCCCAGCTTCCTTTAGGATCACAGTTTTTGGAGATGGATGGGGCCTTGCAGAGCAAGAAGTCCAACCCTCACCTGACAGATGAAGGGACAGACTCAGAGAATGGAAATGACTTCACTAACGCAATGCAGACACTGAACAGCAAAGCTGACATTTGAACCCAAGTCTTCTGACTCCCAATTCAGTGCTCCTTCCAATACACTACAAAATTCCTCTCTAGTCTCAGTTTCTTCATCTGTAAAATGATGGGGAAGCAGGTATTCATAGAATCACATAATTGCAGATACTGTGACTATTGATTAAGAGTTGGCAGGGACAGGGACCTTACAGGTCATCTCAGTAAGGTTGGGTAGGTCACACAAAGAGCAAGTGGCAGGTCCTGGGCACCCCAAATTCAGCTCCAGTTCCCATGGGGCCTCATTTCCCCCCTGTTTCAATACCAGAGGATGTTTGCTGGGCTTTCTAGGTTTCTGTCCTGCCCAGATAGGAGGCATTTTTCTTACTGTAAATCCCATGGGCTTTAGATCTGGGAACAGAGAAGAAAGGGGCCAATTACAAAGAGATGTGAGGAACCTTCACAGGGATAGCCTGAAGGGTAAGACCTACTGTGGTGGCTCTTATGGAAGCCTAAATATTGGTGAAGGAAAAAGGTGGAAAGGTATGCCACTCAAAGACAAAGGAGGAGGTGAATTACAATGACTACAGCAGCATCTCCCAACAGGACCAAGGAGCATTAGGCATCATGCGTTGTCATACCTCATGCACATCAATGGTATTCTGGAACAATGAAGGCAAAGAGTTAAAGGAGGGAAGGAAGAAGCAAGAAGGAAAGAACAAAGAAGAAAGGAAAGAAGGAGGGAATAAGGAAGGAATGAATGAAATGTGCAAGAGAAAAGGAAATACAAAAGAATGAACCAGCAAAAAGAAAGAATGGAAAGAAATGGAAAGGAAAGAAAAGGAGAGAAAGAAGAAAAAAGGAAGCAAAGGGAAGAGGAAAGGGCAAAGGATTGTCTTGGTCGCCCCCTCCACAGTATGACTGAAGGATGTGTCTGCACAGCAAGCCTCTGCTACCTTTGGTCCTGAAGTTTACAATGCTGTTATGTCCATCCTAGTTTTCAAGTCTAGAATGAATGTGAAATAATAGTAGCTAATATTTATGATAGCATTTATTATATGCCTGACACTATTACAATTCTGATCTCATTTGATCCTCACAACAACTCTGGAAGGGAGGTGCTATTATCATTCTCATTTTACAGTTAAGGAAACTGAGGTGGGAAAAGGTGCCCAGAGTCTCACAGCTAGTAAGTGTCTGAGGCTGGATTTGAACTCAGGTCTCCCTGACTCCAGGCTCAGCACTGTGCATACATAGTATGGCGGCTCTTAGCAAGAATCCAGGCACATGCCCTTCTGTGTCTGTTGATTTGTTGTGTAATGTTTGTTGCTTTGCAGCACCAAACCACTGGAGTGGCTGCTGTCCTCCCGAAGTGTGTATCCTAGTAAGTCTCCAAAGTGTAGGAAAGGGACATACCTGTGGAGCCGTACACCCAAACTGTGTTTCCCTGAGCCTTGCACACCCATTGGGCTCATAAACATTGCATTCTTGAGTGTCAAGGAAAAAAGTCAGCTCTGCAGGAAACTTTTTTAGAATGTAAGTGTTTAAGAAATCTCTTGCATCATGCAAGGCAGAAATCATTGGCCACTAATGAGGAAAGTGGAACACCAAGGCAAAACAAAGAAACTGCTCCAACTGCCCTTTCTGCCTCCTGCCACCATTACTGGAGCTTTGTACTTTGACAGATGGGCCATTAAGATGAACAACAGACATTCTTAGCCCAGAGAAGGTATCAGGGCATGGCTCCCAGCTACTGGAACAGCACCATTCTCGTTCAGGTCATGCTTTGAAATCACCTCATTTGGTGATTTATGGCATTCAAGGAAGGGTTTTCCAGTACAGCTTGCTTATGATGCTGTCCTGACACTTGATTAAATATTACTGAGTGCCTCAAAGCTTCCCTTCCAAACCAAGAGCCTAACAGGCATCTGTGAGCAATATGAAACAGATATCAAGAAAACCTCCCAAGACCTGATGATGTGAGGCTATGCATCTAGAAAATGATGCCCTGCTGGCTCTTGCTGGCCAGTGCTCATGATGTCTAATATATTTACAAGAGGTAAGGTGACAACAGATCTAATTGTCATAAAGTTTGAAGTCCTGCTGCAGCTGATCACCCTTAAGATAAGATCATAATCTGACCAAAGCTTTGCCCTCTTTAGCTTCAGAAGGAGTAAGAGTGTCACCTCCATGAGGTTACATTTCCTCTTTGTTTCTGAGCTGAAGTCTCATATTCATTTCAATTTCTAGGGCAAATGGGAAAGTATCAGTGAAGGAAACAACATCTCTAAGTTTCTTAAGAACAATATAGGGATTTCAAAGTGTCCGCTTATAATCCCATTACAGAGGGTGGGGGACTAAAGTCCCGTGTTTGTCTTAATGAAGTGGATGGCTTTTTGGACAAATATTCTACATGTGGAAAGACAAGTTTTCCAAAGAATAAGGTCCTCATATACTTGTTATAGAAAGTGTTCCCAGATAGATGAATTCTAAGTAGGTGTGCAGGACACACCATAAGATAACCATAAGGTAAGCATAACTGAGTGATTATTTGGGAGAAATCATGGTATATAGCAGCTACATTTGCACAGAAGGCTAAGTCATTTGCCTTGACAGTGTTCCATAATGTTGACCTATAGGTCTTTGAAAGGGCATGGCTTAATGTGACCAGGCATGGTTTGATTGCATATATTGCTTGCTCCTGTATTATTTTATTGGAAGTCAAAATTAAAGACAATATTCTATATCATCACCAGTAGGAGACAAATTAGCATTTCAGACAGGCACTTTAGAGGCAATTGTCAAGATCAAAGGAGATAATATTTGTGAAGAGCTTAGCACAAAGCCTGGCACATGGTACATGCTTATTAAATCTTGTTCCCTGTTCCCTTTTCCTAATGAAAATTTAAGACCTTATGTGCATGAGAATTTGACATATCACCTATGAACTGAGAACAAAAACAGTGTCTTCCACTCGGTGCCAACATACTGTGGAAAAAATGTCCACTATGTTACTGATCAGTTTGGAGAGTCTAAATCAGAGCTTCTCAAGCTTTTTGGCCTCAGGACTCCTTTACACTCTTAAAAATTATTATGGAGACTTTGTTTATGTGAGTTATATCTATCATTATTTAGCATATTAGAAATTAAAACATCTTAATATTATTATGACCACAGTTTTGACCTTACAGATCCTCTGAAAGGATATAAGTCCCTGAACCACACTTTGAGAACTGTTGTTCTAAATGAACAGGAAAAAAAACAAACAAGCAATGGGAAAGTAAATGAGGATCATTTAAAAGAACTTATGTGTTACAGTTAGCATTTATGTAGCTACTTAGGGTTTGCAAAGTGCTTTACAAATAAGATCTAATTTGATCCTCATATAACAGCCCTGAGAGGTGGGTGCTATGATCATTTTGTAGAGGAGGAAACCGAGGCTGAAAAAGGTTAAGTGACTTGCCCAGGGTCACACAGCTAACAAGTATCTGAGACTGGATAGGAACTGAGGTCTTCTTGACTTCAGGTCCAACATTTTATCTGTTGAGACAGTCAAGTGGCACAGGGGATACAGTGCTGGTCAGGAAGACCCGAGTTCAAGCACTGCTCCTGATATATCCTAGTTGTATGATTCTTGGCAAATTGCTGACTCTCAATGCCTTAGGCCACCTCCAAAACCTGTGTTATAAAGCAATTGATGATCTGTATCATCATGGATGTTTCCCTAACTGGAGTTCCCCATATCAATGAAATCAAAGGTCTTGCTTCCTACAGCTCCTCCTTTTCCCCAATTCAAGGGAAATAAATGACTCCTGGAAGGAAGGAAGGCAGAGAAAGTTCTAATATGCAGCATTCAGGGACCGACTTCTTTTCAGACTTTGTCTTGTGCTTGATTCTGTGGAGAATAATGGACTTGAATCACTTTGAGGTCAAAAAATGAGAACTGTGATGATACTGAGCTTTTAAAAAAGAGTCCCTTAGAAAATGAGGCTCATTCAGGTTAAAGGGAGAAAGCCTAGAGAGATTCGCTACGACCTCATTGCCGCTAAGCCTTCCCCAAGCCTGTGCTTGGAGAAGGGTGACTTCCTTTGTCACACACAAAGTCAATTGATTGAGCCAGAGAGTTTCTTGGCTCCCTGATGGCCTTACCTTCCTCCCCTGCATAGGCCAGAATAGAGCGGGCACGCATCTGTTTCCCATCAGTTGTTTTGCCAGAACAAGTATGTGAGCAGGAGGACCACCCTGACCACGTGCTGAGCACACAGTCCTTGGGGCATGGCACTTCACAGGCCACAGGGATTGGAAAGATGGCATCTCTGCACAGCTGTCTGTCAACCTCTTCTCCTGGGGAAACAAGGGCCAGAAAGAGTCCATTACAATTACATTAATTTCAAATGTGCAATTGAGACCAGATGGTCACAACAAATAAATTAGACATTTTTTCCCTTTTGTTATTGGACAAAACCAGAGTTGACAGATGAGTGGCCAAAATGGGGCCCCTCCTGCTAAGCATGAAATGAATGCAGATATTGCCACCAGGACCCAGAGGAGCCTGCAGCCCAAATGCAGACAGGCTTTAGAGGGGACCCTACTCTATCCCTTTTGACATGTCTTCATATAACATATCTCAGTCTCATTTGATGCCACCAAAAACAAATTGTGCGCTAAGGCTTCAGAAAGCATAGCGTGAAAGCCACTCCTCTCCATCTTGTGGAAAAGAGCCCCGATTTTCTCATAAATAATGAATAGATTTACAGCACCTGCCATATGCTCTCAGGAGCCAACTCATGAGGATCTAGATTTCAGAAATTCCATGATAAGGGTTCCCTGAGAACTCATGATGTGTGTGTGTGTGTGTGTGTGTGTGTGTGTGACAACTGGAATGTTTCAATCTGATTATTAAAATTGATTTTATCAGTTGAAGATGTGATATGTCAATGAGAGAAGAACCATAAAAATCCTAGGAAAATTCTGCCTAGGATTGTCTGGTTTCATCACCAGAATGGGAGATGACAGAATCATCAGGCAAATGTCAATTTTATTCAGTTCAGTATTCATTAAGTACCTACTGTGTGTAAGGTACTTGTACAAAGAACCAAGGGAACACTCAAAGAAGAAATAAAGCTGGTCTCTTCCCTCAGTGACTTTGCCATCCACTGATATAGTCATGGTTGTACTTAAAAACCATTTTAACCCATCTGGATGGAGCATATGGACAAGAGACGCACAGCACAAGTATGGGTGGATGGGCTGTGATCTACAGTAATGCAAACGTCACATTATAGAATTTGAGATCATTTCAATTTATTGCTGGAAGGGACCTTTGTGGTCAACATGTCCAATGCCCTTATTTTAACAAAGAGGAAACTGAGGCACAGAGAGATTCTGTGATGGCTTCAGAGTCACACATCTAGTAAGTATCTAAGGTAGGATTTGAATTTCAAGTCATCTTGATTTCAAGTCCTATACCCTAACCATGGAATCTGCTGCCTCTCAGTGTAAACATTGACCCATGGAAGTGTGAACATGAACACAACAGGCAAGAAAAGGAGAAGAACAGGGAATACTCTGGCATTCATCAACAGGAGATAGAGAGGGTAGGGTATGAAAAGATGTAAGGAAAATAGAAATATGACTACAGTCTGAAGATGCCAATGTTTCCCTAAAAGAATTGTAAATAATCCCAATGTATTGGAGGCAAGGTTTGTTCAACTTTGCTAGGCTTATTAGTGCTGAGACAAAAAGGCTGATGTGGCAGAAACCATTCTTCTTCCAGAGATTATGCCCATAGCAGTGGCTGGCCAGGTTTTCAGTATGGAGAATAAGTGAGAAAGCATGTTGCTTAGCACATACTTAGCCCTCACAACATGCCTTTTCATTCATTTCCTCACTCACTCATTCATTTATTCATCCAATCCATTCACTTACTCATTCAAGTTACCTCAAAGAGGAGACTTTAAATGAACTGAACCTCATCATGGATGGTATTACTTACAGGCTGCCCCAAGGAGCTTGGAAGCCCCTGATTGGGGTCTTTTGGGTCTGATATGGTAAACAGAAATCAAAGAGAGGAGAAGTTTGAGACGTCATGCCTAAGAGTGCCCAGTCCATCATCAAGGATTTCCTAACTACAGGAACCTAGGTCTTGAAAACTGGCAGGTTTTGTATGTTCCTGGACTAGAATAAGAGCCCTCAGACCACTTCATAGAAAGACAATGGATTTTTGGCTTTAGTGCTGGAGGACATTAAGGAATGTTCTATTCCAATGTTGCTTTTGAAGTCAACAGCTCAGATGTGTTAACAATAATCATGATTAATAGCAGCAGCTGCCATTAGAATGTGAGACCCTTAAGGACAGGGACCATGATATTTGCCATTCTTTGTATTCCCAGAACTTAGTACAGTGCTTAGCACATAACAAGAGCCCAATAAATGTTTGTTGACTGAGTGATTTACATTTATATAGCACTTTGAGGTTTGAGAATTATCTATATATCTATATCAAATCAACAATTCTCGAGGTGGGTGCTATTATTATTTCCATTGTGCAAATGAAGAAACTGAGGCTAAGAGGGCTTAAATGGCTTGCTTAGGGTCACATACCTTATAAATGTCAAAGTCAGGATTCAAACCCAGGTCTTCTTGACTGTAGTCAAATTCAGAATTTTATCCATTATGTTGCCTAGTTGCCACATAGGAAGAAGCAGTGACAAAATGTACAGGGAATGCCAGGATTGACAGAGATAACATGGTGTCATGGGGAACTAACCATATTTATTTTCACATTCTGAAGGAATTCCAGGAATGTGGAATGATTGGCTGAAATACATGGGTTTTCATTGCAAACAGTGACCTAGAAGTAGTCTGTTGGGTAAGATGGACATGTTCCAAGCCAGGGACAGCACCTCTGGACAGTGCTCTATACTGTGAGATGGCTATTGAGTCTGTCACTGCCTGTCGGGTCTTGATCATCATCAACCCCTGAAGGAGATAGAGGCTTGGAGTGAACTTCCCTGTGGCAAGTCATACTTTGGAAGTCTTTCTTCCTTTCCAGAAGAGAGGCTGGAAAGAAACAAACTTAGAATGAAAGGAAATGGAGATGCTGTCTTCCAAAGGGATAGAAAAGTGAGAGTGGGGCCAGTTTGAGAAAGAGTTGGTTGTCTGTGAGACCAATTACTCAGCCTCAGATAGAGTAGTCATCTACAGCCCCTGGACTGTGGATTAGAGACTCGGCACCAACCTCGGCTGTGTCTCCTTCCATCTGTGTCCAACCAGACTGAAATAGAAACTAATAAGAAGCAGGCCAGCTACATCCAGATTTCATTTAGTGGGAAACAGATGGCCAAAGATGAAAAGGAATTTAATAAAGTGATCTCCTTTGTTTGTGAAAGAGGTACATGCAGGCCACACACCCTCAGCTCTCCCTAAAGAATGATCAAACATTGAGCCAACCATACTCGCCCATAAAGTCAGCGCTCTGACCAAGGATACACATTTCAGAGATTGACATAGATTGGCAGCGTAGACCTTGGGCCATGGAATAAGGTAAAAGCCACTGCCCCATAGGGAGGTAGAATCTATGCCTTCAGCATCATTAGTTCTATGTTCTCACCCGCTAACTTCAGATGCTATGGACTAGAGCACAGAAAAATGCTTCTCAGTGTTGGTTTTTTTAAACAGCTAAACCCCTCACCCACTGCCTCCCAACCTTGACATCATTCACTAGCCTCAGCTATCAAATGTGGGGTATTTAGCTTTTCTTAAGCAACCAATTATATACCAATTACCCACCTGAAATGAATATTAATACTATTTACTTATGAGACATTGTGTGGTATAATGTGTGACAATAGGTAAGTCATTTGCTGCTTGGTATTGTAGGTAATTCTCTATGATGATAGAGAATTGTTGTAGATAAAGTGCCCATATGACTTTGTAGAGAGGGTTGCCTCACCTACACATTCCCTGTACTAGTGAAACCATAGGTGCAGCATATCCAGTCATCTTGCCTGAACTTCAGCCCTCTATGACCAGCCATACGATCAGCTAGTTATGCCATAGGCAGGTTGAACTCAACACAGAGGTCATCTTTTCCCCAAACTACCCCTCTTTTGAACATCCCTATTTCTGCCAAGGCACAGCTGTCTTCCCACTGACCCAAATTCATGACTTCAGCATCCCATCCGATTCTTTCCTTTCCCACATTTGTCTCCTACATATAGTCAGCTGCCAAGTCTTGTTGATTCTTCTTCCTTAGTATTTCTTGCACCTGTTCCCTTATTATCACCTACACCAATAGTCCCTTGATCCTGGTCAGAATTTCCTTTGTCTGGCTTATTACAGCAGCCTCATAACTAGTTCCCTTGTCTCGAGTCTCTCCCCTGTCCCATCTCTTGTCCATATAACCGCCATATTGATATTCTTAAGGCACAGCTCCAACCATTGTCCTTGATCAAGAAGATTCAGTAGCTCCCCATTGCCTCTTGGATGAAAGGATCCTAACAGATCCTTTTAAGATAATTTTGTGTCATTTCTCCCTCAGACACACTTCTAGTCAACCTAGTCCACTTTCTGTTCTCTGTCTCATACCACTGTGCCTTTACAGAGGTTGTCTCATGTACCCATGATGATCTCTTTCTGGGCTTCCCTTTTGGAATTTCTAGTCCTATTCAAGGCTTAGTCCAAACATCTCCTTAAAAAAGGCCTTTCCTGATCTCCCAGGTGCTGATGCTCTACCTCTCCTGAAATTACTTTGTATTTACTGATCTGTGCATGTGATGTTTTCATACAATAAAATGTAAGATCCCTGAGGGCAGGGATTGTCTCACTTTTTATCTTTCTGGACACAATGCTGGGCACACCATAGGCCTTCGGTGAATGCTTACTGAAATGAACTGAACACCATATAGGGGTTTGCCAACTGACAAAGGACCTTCTTTTTGCAAAGATAAGCTCCGAAGGCATTTTCTTTTCTCAAAATCTTGATGGTCCTAGAAATCTGTGTAGTTGTCATAACTAACTCAAATATCTTGAGCTTGGAGAAGTTGGTGGAGTCTTGAAAATGCAGTGTACTTATCTACAAGGTTAATTCACTGGGAGGAGCTGGGACAGGCAGCAACTGTGCAGTGGATGGAAAACCTGAGTCTGGGGAAGGACTAAGGGTCTACGGTCAAGACAGCTGAGCCCCAAACAAGGTAGGAAGTAGATGGAAGGGTCTAAATAGCCAAGAAGCTAGGCCAGTTTCTAAGCCCACATTAGGAACATTTCAGGTTTATACTTTGTGATTCAACAAGTTTGAATGCTGGATGCCTGCTCTGTGTTGACTTACTTCACCAGAATATCAG